TACTAAACTTTACACATTATATAGGCTACACTAACATGACATTTAGGTGGTTCGTTTAACTATTATACATGATTTATGTTTTTTGGGGGGTGGTTAATGAAAGTGTTCCAAAACACAACATTAATTTATTGACGACCTAATATTTTCTTTATTTAGTGTAATAGACTTAAAATAAGACCGAAAACTCGAGCGCTTTCGAATAGTTGACTATTCTTCTCCTTTGTTCTCCTGAAGAAGAATAGTCAACTATTCGAAAGCGCCCGAGTTTTGGGTCTCATTTTAAGTCTATTACACTTTATATGTGATAATTTGTGCTAACTCTTTTATAAAAATTCTTTATTTAGTGTTTAGGGTATCCACTGTCAAGGAGGATTGTACTGATGTGTTTTATTATTTGCATATTTTGCATTTAAAATCTTCTTAATACTGGAGATTAGAATTATGTTGTGTTCTTTACATTTATGGAGGAAGGTATGATGGTTATCTATTTCAGCTAATTTACAACCAAGGTGCTTACGATAGATTGCAGTGATCTAATACGAACCGTTGTCATGGTTAATGAACACTTAAGCCTAATTAGTACTTAGTTACTAATTACATCATTTACTTGATATGCTATGATTCCACTGCTAATCCAATGTATTCTACAGGAAGACCAGTTTATGGTGGTAGGAACAAGGATTCGGTCCTGGTTCCTTTTGTTAGAGACTCAGGTGTGCTATCCACTCGTCTGGAATCACTTTATTTTTTAAGTTTTGGTAACTGTTAAAAAAGAACTAAAACTACACTCACTCGTGTGTTGTTTCTTTCTGCTTTTAGTTCTTGAATCTCTTCCTCTCTTTCCAATAGCTGTTCTCGTGTTTGGTTCAACTCTTTATTCAATGTAGCAAATTCCTGCAAAAGTATATATAAAGACAGAATTTTTTTATGTAAGTCAGAAACGCTTTATTTCTGGTCACTCTGCATCCAACACTAAATAACCACTTGTACTTTTTCTTATCTTCCATTATTTATTTCATGTAAGATGTTACAGTTAGTATAGTAAACATATTTTAAGAAACAGACGTTCCTTCAATAAAGTAACAAATATCAGCTTTTACATTTTCATGCAATGACCAATTAATATTAAATGGCTTTATTTGTTATAAAAAGGTCTAATATTGAACGAACCAGTAATACTCAATGTTTAACAATGGGCGATGTAACAATTAAAATTATGACACAAGTCCTTCAGAGTTACGTCAAACATTGTATATTATCCGATACAACACTCCTGCATGTATGCAATATACAGTGCCTTGCAAAAGTATTCACCCCTGCAAAGTTTCTACATTTTGTTGTCGTCTGAGCTTGCAATCATGAAATTTTCAAGTGGACTTTATATTTAGAATCTAACACAATCTACTTCAAACTGAGAAAACTAGAGAAAAAAACGTTAGATTTTCAAAGAAAATTAGAATATTCTCAACTCCATAAGTATTCAACCCCCTTGTTACGGCAACCATATATCAGTTCAGGAGTAAAAAATTAGTTTGAAAGGTCACAAAATTAGTGTTATGGTCTCTGTCTGCGTGTAATCAAAGTGGTTTACCTTGACTTCAGAGTAAATGCATCTGTTCAAGCCACAACTCACACAGTGATAAGATACACCAGCCATGAAGACCAAGGAGCTTTCCAAACAAGTCAAGAATAAAGTGGTAGAGAAGCACAGATCAGGAGAAGGTTACAAGAAAATTTCAAAGTCGCTGATTATCCTTTTGAGTACAGTGAAGTCCATCATTAAGAAGTGGAATGTGCTTCATACCACCCAGTCACTAACATCAGGACGCCTTCCCAAACTAAGCAGTCGGTAAAGCAGGAAACTGGTTAGGGATGCCACTGTAAAGCCAACAGTGACTTTGAAAGATTTGCAAAGTTCCATGTCTGAGATGGGAGTCAGTGTTCATACATCAACAATATATCCTGGTCCCTACACAAAGCTTGTCTGTATGGACGAGTGACCAGAAAGAAGACATTGCTGAAAAAGAATCATCTTAAATCTCGTGTGGACTTTGAAATAAAGAATGTAAATGATACTGCTACATGTGGCAGAAGGTTTTGTGGTCAGACGAGACAAAAATGGAGTTTTTTGGTCTAAATTCAAAGCGTTACATCTGGAGTCAACCCCAATACAGCACATTACCCAGTCAACACCATCCCAACTGTCAAACATGGTGGTGGCAACATCATGTTATGTGGATGCTTCTCATCAGCAAGGACTGGGAAGCTTGTCAAAATTGAAGGGAAAATGGATGGTGCAAAGTACAGGCGAATCCTAGAAGAAAACCTACTTGAGTCAACCAAGAATCTTAGACTGGGTCGAAAATTCACATTTCAGCAGGACAGTGATTCGAAGCACAAGACTCAAAGCCACACTGGAGTGGTTTCAACAGAAGAAAGTGAATGTTTTGGAGTAGACCAGTCAAAGTTCTGACTTGAATCCAATAGAAAAATTATGGCGAGACTTGAATATTGCAGTCCATCAACTTGTCAGAATTGAAGCAATTTTGCCAGGAAGAATGAGCAACACTTACACCATCCCATTGTGCAAAGTTGGTAGAGACCTATCCAAGTTGTCTCACAGCAGTAATTGCTGCCAAAGGTGCTTCCATCAAGTACTGATTTACGGGGCTGAATACTTAATGCAATCGTCAAATTTTAATTCATATATATTCTTTGCAGGTTTTTCTGACATTCAACCTCCTTCACACATAACAGTGTTAAGTTATATCATTAGAGTTTTGAATAAAGAACAAGTTAATTAAAAAAAATTGTTTACATTATTTGTATTTCATCAAAATGTGACATTATTGGTAGGGATGAATACTTTTGCAAGGTACTGTAAATTTACACGTTTAAGTTTATTTTTGAATGATATATAGATAAGAAAGCCATGATATCAGAAATACTTTATAAGCTGAAACGGTCGATTACCTTGTTTACTACTTTTGTATGCAATTATGTTACGTCTCATGATATATTTTAGCAAAAAAACAACAACAAAAGAAACGCAGTTCCCATCGATTGTTTTAATTCAACATACTTACCGTTGGTAAACCTCAATATAAACAGTTAGATCTGAAGTAAATGTTCGTTCTATTTCCTCAAAATTACTTTTGGTAAACCTCAATATAAACAGTTAGATCTGAAGTAAATGTTCGTTCTATTTCCTCAAAATTACTTTTGGTAAACCTCGATATAAACGGTTAGATCTGAAGTAAATGTTCGCTCTATTTCCTCAAAATTACTTTGGTAAACCTCGATATAAACAGTTAAATCTGAAGGAAATGTTTGTTTTAATTCACCAGGTTATCGTTGGTAAATTTCCATATAAATTAATAGTCGTCGATATTTATCCTGTCTTTGTTTTAAAAGGTTTTATTAGCAGAATTTTTCAATTGTTTTTTAGTTGAATGTAAGGTGTGGTGTGTGTGTGTGTCATGTCGAGGCAACAAAAAAGCAGTATAAACGACTATGAAAGGAATACGAAAGTGAGTACCAACTACTCTGAACCTATAATGATGTCAGAGGGATCGCGCGATTTGTGATATTTGGTCAAATTTAGCAGCCACAACATGGTTGTTAAGTATTCGAATTCTCATATCTTTAAACACACTGGAAGCAATATATATATATATTATTTTATGTAGATTAGAGATTTTTTAAAAAAACATGGTACATTTTAAAGATTTAATCCACAAGCAGAAGAAAAGTTACTTATTTTTAAACATTATTTTCGGACTGTCCGACAAACAGCAACAATCAACGCGGTAAGATTAAAACGGTGTAACAAAGAGAAACAATTAAACAAATATATTTGTTCGTGTTTTTGTCCAATTACCTGCAATAAGGACCTTTGACGATGCCAAACCCTCAACAAAGATGCGTTTGTTTGTTCACCTGAACAACAGATTATGCATACAGTGGACTAAACGGTCAGGTTAGAAATTCCCATGGTTCAGGCTTAGCTGTATCTAATTTTGAGCTGTACACTAGAGAGAAGGCAGCAAGTCAAAGCACCAGCCACCTGCAGTGGTTACTCTTAACCTAACAAAGATACCTTGTCACTCTTATACCGCACAGTTGGAAGTATGAAACGTGTTAACTGTTTGATAAAACCACGTCTCGAATTCGAGACTCATAAATCTCCAATCTGAAATACTAACCACTAGGCTAAGCTTGGGCTCCTCCTAGAAGATTATAGAGCAAAACAAATTCGTTTGGAAGATGAAGAAATTATATCGTATTTATAGATACAAAACAATTAGTCCTAAACTGCTTTTGCATACATAAGTCAATAAAATCTATGTAAATAATACACTTTAGTTTGTCTTTCCGGAACTTTTCTCGCAAAATTCTCAACCAGACGCTACAAATCTCATATTGTTAGAAAGGCATTTGTCCGAAGAGACCGGATTGCTTATTGGCTTTTCCATTCAGAATAAGCTTACCTGATTTTTGCTTAGTCAAACTTTTTACTGCAACGAGTATGCTACACGATGGGACAATGTCGTTGTCATCACGTGACGACTGTCTTCGATTTCAACCTTAGTTTTTTATTTACAAAGTATTTCACACAAATAACACTATACCCACGTGTAATTAAAACAAAAACATTACACTAAATACAATTGCTATTGGCTTTCTTGACTTATTTAGGTCTAATGTGCGCATGCACAGTTCGTTCAAACCATATGTTTATCACTTTGTGAACATGCGTTCAGACGTATTTGCATAATCAGCTAAGTTTGCCTTCGTTACAACTTTACATTTACTTTACTTTGCAATAATTTGACCTCAGTTCGTTTCACAGGCTGCTATAAACTTCTTTTGGCTACTTTTTTCTTTACTGCGGGTTTTATTCTTCATTTTTGTGAGTTTCTTTATTTCAACTCATAAAACTGTGTCATACACTGAATGCTCATAACGGTTTCATACATACTCTGTACACTATTATAAATACCATTACTAAACTTTATTGTTTACTTTACGTGTAGTGTTATTAAATAAAGATCTGGATAACTTTTGTGAACAACTAAATGAGATTTTAATCGAATAAACAGAAAAAAAAAATCAACAGGTTTTCTAAACAAACTTTAAACAAAGATGAGGAGTATGAGCTTATAAAGAAAATGGGTGGCAGGAGAAAGGAATTAATATGAATAGAGAGGAAGAGCATACAAGAGAAAGTTGAATTTGCTGAGTTAACAAAGATAGGAAGGAAGAAAAGAAGAAACAGAACAAGAAAAGACCTTAAAAGCTGGTAGAGGACCTAAGATTATCAATAGAGGGAGTCGTTAAAGGATAATATGCTCAATAAAAACAAAGAAGAAATCACCAGAAATAACAGAACAGAAAAAGTTGAGATACGTGCAGATTTTTACAGAGATTTATATACATCAATTATTAAAGATGAAACAGGAACAGAAATGAATTTTGAGAACAACAAAGCAGATAAAACAGAAGCACCAAAAATTTTAGTCTCTAAAAATAATAACCCATAAAAATATTAAATCTAAAATTTTGTAAACTCATATCAAGACATAAATGTTTCAGTAACCTACTGACCAAGCGTTTATTGTGGTTGCCATGCTTCTTCAGAAGTTTTGATATACATTTCGAAACTTACCTCTCTTTCAGAAAAATACACCACCATCACTCAAATAAGATCGCCAACAAAATGGTGTGTTCAATATGTATCGTTTTTCTCAGACAAAAATTACCACATGGGTCATTAACTAGTCTCAAATCAGCACATTAAAAAAAAAAAAAGAGAGATCTGTGATAATGCATTTAAGAAGAAAACACGTAAAAAATATATCGCTGATAATGAAAACTGTTTCGTGATACGAAAT